CCCCCCCCCCCCCTTTGCAAATGGTTATTATGCCCTGGATTATCTCATTCGTTAAAGTGAAGAATGACAACGTTTTGCATTTTGGTCGCTCAAATGCAAACGTACACGAGTCTGAAATGCTTTCTACACCAGTGTATTTTCAATTAGCGCTCTGAAACGTCGCTCATGTGTCGATCTGGGGCTCACGAGGTGAGTGTGTGCACAGCGCCGTTAGTCCGGTGTGCGATTACCAGAAGGGATTTGGCGTGCTTGCTTCAAGGTCAAGCAAAAGTCCGCACTAGGTGGGCGGCTTAAAGTACTCATGGATATCTGGCTCTTACTAATCAGAAAGCTTACGGGGCCAAGGATTTAATTACTCATGAATTTAATTAGTAAGTCGATAAGTTGGAGTCATGTGACGGCCATGGGGCTGTAGAAAAGCCTGTTAAATAAGTTGACCAGTGCATTACTCACAGGTACGATAGTGTTCCACTAAGAATCCGTCTGCAAATTTGTACGGGTTGCTCTGATTGTTGACCCAAAACGTCGGCGCCAGGATCGCAGTCACAACTGCGTTCGGAGTTCTTCGGTGTGCAGCATTCCCGCGACTCCACGCAAAACACACTTCGCGTTCCCATAGCGTCATTAGGCTTTAATTGGCTTAAGCATAAGCAGATTTCATTCTGCCGTTGGTGAAACAGCGTGACTAAACCATACACCACGCACAATTAGGGTGGCTAGTGGTGTAAAAAAGCGTACAGTTGAGATCACTAATGCAAGCTGACGGCTTTGCTTGGGTTATGCCATGTGTTTTCAATAAAAATTTCCAAGTTTTCATACAATCGCTTTTTGCAAGCTCCTTCGTAAAAAATAATTCCTAATACCACTGAAAAGCCATTGTTATATAATCACCTCCCTGCAAATTGGAACATGCACATTGTTTCCTTTATGATGGACAGGTGTAAGCATAGTTTTTACGATGCAAAGGGTTTGGCGCTGGACACAAATTGGTACAGTGCTGTTTTACAAAAGGACCTAAGCTCCACTGATGCAGGCAATGCTTCTGATGCTTTCCTACACAACCGTGTAACGATAGAGGGTGTTCTGTGATGTTTTTGAAAAGACGGACTAAATTTGGTCTCCATTGTTGTGCAGAATTTGATGTTGTGCAAGCCCCATCTCTTTGACCCCTTCCATGTTAGTACTTACCACTTTCATCTTGTTCAAATCGCCTCTCCTGTCCAAGACCGCGTTCACGTTTGCATTAGACATTCGTCCTAATTGAAGAACCATCAAGTGTGCCCAGACGTCAAGGCTCATGTGGTCTTAGAAGTGCCTCTGCTCTCGCCAAAGTTGGGTTTGTTTTTCCAAAGCTCTACGCTTATTAAAATAAGCAATACTTTATTGAAGGTTAAATCTCAATTCACAGCTAAAAATTGGATCCAGTTTGTTTCCGGTTTTTGTTTGCTTCGACAAACCTAAGTTAGCGCACTGGTCATCCCCACGCACCTACGCGGGTCTTTTTTGATGGAGGTGGTTTGATTAATTTGAGTAGGTACCTGGGGGAAAGTGTATATTCTCGCGGACTGGTTCCAATGGCCACGCATGGAGTGCGGCTCTCCCTTAACTGGGCTCCAAATCGGAAAAGGATGATCACCTCACAAACCGGACACCAAAGTTTCCTTTTGGTGGTGTGGGAATTCTACTGGGATCAACATTTTCAATTTCTGAATGCGATTTACCGTCTATTTTAGACTTGCCAGAATGGTGGCTACTGCAAACCTGTGAGTTTTATTGAAGAATGCGAATGTCCTCCGGGATTTTATGGACGATACTGCGAGGTGAAACTCAACCTTTGCCACCAGCTACTTGAGATCGACCTAGTCTCCTCGTCCTACAACGGAGAGGGTCGGTTGCTGGGAAACAGGAGAACCCTTTCTCTCACGTCGGCCACGACAGCCCTCATTGAGAGCAAGCGAAACGATGGCGTGGAGCTGGACACGGATCTTCTCACGTCCATGCACCTCTCGAAGACCACTCTCGGACCCTGCTACCCGCAAGGCACTCTGCAGTGCATTCCCAAACCAGGAGACTTTTCCTGTCAGTGCCGCTACGGATTCGACGGTCGGTTCTGTGAACAACGGAGGGATTTCTGTGCAGAAGCGGAGCTGAGAGAAGGCAGGGTAGGACTCACGTTGCTTCATGGCCATCCCCTCTTTACTACCCCTTGCCATAACCCCCTTAATCTTAACTATGGCCTTTTAACCGAATGCAAGAATGACTTGCTCTGCCCTGTCTCACGTCAAACAGGAGGCTGATTCTCACGCCTCATTGTAAAGTCCCCTAGAGAATGCCAAACAATTTACCCGATGGCTGGTTTCACCATAAGTTAATTTTCTAGAAACGGCTTTTCGTGTTTTCTGGTGACTTTTATTTTTGTTTAATTAGTGATCACCCGGGATTATGTGTTATGCCGTCAAAAAACAATAAATAGTGGAAAAGGCAATTAGCTCAAGGGGAATTTACAAAGCAATGTCTAGACACACTTGATCGTGAATAATTCAAATGCTCCTGATAAAGTAGATGACTTTGAAGCTTTATTACGCACAAAATGTAGACGCACTTGGAAGTGGTTTCAAGTGTTTTGCTTGCATCTACCTACTCCGACATTGAATTTATTGTAACATAAGGTGAGTATGCGAAAATACGTAGGTTTATTCTATTCTAGAGCGTTTGCCTCAACGGAGGTCAATGTCTGAACCATCGAAAAGGGATTGATGACCAGCCTTCCCCCGTTAAGGCAGAGGAGTCCTTCATTTGTCAGTGTCCAGCGGGCTTCAGTGGTCCTAGGTGCGAAATTCGCACGCCTAGTTGTGACAATGTCAGTCTCTGCCAAAATGGCGGTGTTTGTACGGTCGAGGGCACCAGACTCAAGTGCGATTGTCCCCATGGGCTTGGAGGAACCTTCTGCGAGGTGGATTTGGTCGATGAGTGTGCTCGAGCTGGAAACTGCCTCAACGGTGGCAGATGCATTGATGGCCACGGGAACTACACATGCGAATGTCTCCCAGGTTAATTTATAAGTTTAGTGTTACTTTTTTGATTTAAGTAGCAATAAACGTTAATGTAATATTTAATTTCAGATTTCTGCGGGCGCCGGTGTGAGCTGAGTGGATTCGCGTGTGCAATTGAAGCTACCACCGACCCGAACCGCTGGCCCGGTGAGGCCGCCGAAGCTCGCCTCTGTGAAATTGCAGAGTGTCAAATGAAGGCGGGAAACGGCAGATGTGATCCAGAGTGTGACCGATTTGCGTGTGGCTTTGATGCCGGTGAATGTCTTTATTCGATGCAGTTTTTGACCGACCCTGTCTCCGTACATGACGCCAAGTTGACCATGGCATTACCCTGGGCCAATTGTACCGCAATTCATCAAGAGGGCTTCCCCTGTCATCTGCGTTTTGGTGATGGCAAATGTGATCCAACCTGCGATTCGGCATCCTGTCTGTTCGACGGCTGGGACTGCATGCACGATTCCATCGATGTAAGTGTCCCACAATGGTAAAAACGTTGATATCATATCTGATATTTAGCCATAAAGATGATATTTTATGCCGTTCTGCACATCTCACGTAGTAATGGTGCATGGACGACAACGCACGAGTCTTCTAAACATGTTTTATTCGTAATTTTTCCAGGCCAATCTGCCTTCAAGGACTTTTGCTCGCACGAAAGGTAAAGTCGAATGGGAGGAACGAAGCAAATCCCCTCCGGAGCCAGTTGAAGGAAGCCTGATATTGTTGCTTGGAGTTCCCCCGTCAGAACTTCTTCCAGAGGACAACAAAAAGCGAGGTTTGGAACGTCAATTTCTCGAAGGACTAGGCAGACTTCTGCGAGTCCAGCTGCGCATCCGTCAACTGCCAAACACCGGCGCGCCCATGGTCTACCCTGTAAAAATCATGACACAAACAACCACTCCAAGAGCACAACCTCGAAAGGACAATTTTTGGTCCCTTCTCGACCCCACTGTCGCTGCCGGTGGCATGAATGTGTCGGTCAACCAACTGATCATCGACCAGGGCCAGACACACAACCTTGAACAGGTGATTGCTCTGCTTACGACTGGGGCTCACAAACCGGAGATTCTCCACAGAAGGCGCCGCGAAGCCCAGGAAGTAAAGTTGGGCAGTCGGGTCTTCCTAGAGGTGCAGGATGGAAGTTGCCAGAAATCAGGTAGGCCCTTCTTCAAGTAGGTGGTGTTGAAGTGACCATAGGGACACCAAACGTGCATATTAGTCAACACCAGTTCAAACTTAAGGCACTCCAATTGAGAAGTTTCTCTCCATGACATTGTGGTTCAGTGTTTGTTTTTTTAATCTTGAAGGTTCCTGCATCCACAATGTTGAAACAGCGGCCCAGTTTGTCTCAGCAGCCCTACGGACTCGGCGTTACACACCTCCTGTGGACATCCTCTCGATAGAGACGGCTTCTCCCGAAACCCTTCAGCAGCTGATGTCAGATGGCAGCTACTCGGGCGGCAGGAGGTCCATATTCGATCATCTGGGACTCCATGGGACCCTTGTCTACTGTCTAATTGGCCTGATATGCTCTCTTGTCCTCCTCTCACTATTTGGCGTCCTTTACGGAATCATGCAACGACGAGTTCAGGGCCAGGACATTGAACCGGGATCGGGTTATGGTCAGAAGAACCTTATGAAGAAGGTAGGTGGGAAGAGGCTTCACTAGTGATAATCCCAATTGCCTTACCTAGTTTAATATGTTTCTGGTTTCTAATAACATTGCCTTTGCAAAATGTTCTAGATCAAGACAACCTCCATTTGGTACCCCCGTAATTCTGGTTCCCGGGAGGGCAGTCGACATCAGCATCATCACCACAGTGCGGTGTTCGGTGGCTTCCCTACAGCCGCATGCGCAGAGGGTGGGACTGGAACTCCTAGTCTGGCGACACAGGCAAGAGCCCGTGCCATGGTCACACCCCACAGCTCCCACTTGCCTTTTTGGTCACGTGAACGGGCTTTGGCTGCGGCCGGGGAGAAGCTTGCTCTACGCGCGTCCGCCTACCCCGCTCCCCAGCCCCTGCCTCCAACTCCCTCGACAACTGCAGGCTACTCACAGGCCTGCACCACAGCCAATGCTGACAGCAGTGTAATTTCATTTTCCACTACCTTACTGCCTAATTGCTGCTATCAGTGCGATAAAAGGCTCCTTTCGGTTCTTTTTGAAGCAGGTCCCCAACGCCGAAATTTCGTCAACTACACCACTACTGACCGCACTTCCAGTGATGGCCTCCTCTCAGTTGTCCCAGGTGGACGTGAAGGCCTACTTCACAAGTCTCATGGAAAACCTGGTCACCGGCGACGGTCTCACAGAGTCATTCAGTGACGGTCTAGTGCAAAAACTGGAGTACCTGCGTAACATCGAGATGCAGCATTCTGAATCAACGATCTACCGAGGTGGCGGTGGCGGCGGAGGAGGAAGTGGAGGCGCAGGGAGCGGAACCAGTCAGAGGCACGCGAAACGACAACCGACCAACACTTTGTTAGCACAGTTACTGGCCAGCACAGTGCCAGAGACTGGCGAGACGCTGCTTCATTTGGCCGCAAGGTAGGCAGTCATCCCGGTGTGCATTGCTGCACATACTTCCTTATAATGGCACGCGACTGATTAAGTGTAAATACCACTTTGTTTTTCAAGCATCTCCATACCAGATGTCGGCCCAGTCTCATTCTCATGCCAACCCGTAGGTGGTCGCTAGTCTTCATATGTTGTGACTTTCTGGCCATATCCCTAACAGATATTATCACAAGAATTGTTAATTGAACTTCCCACTAGCCAGTTATTGCAGGCACTGACCTCCATTTCGCGTGTTCGCATTACAAGGCTACGCGGTGCTTGAGTGGTCAGTGATCTACGGTTCCTGAATGAGGCTGAACTCAAATAGCGTGCTTTTAGTTATGCGTTGTTAAATATCTTTGAGGGTGCGTGTGGTCATGGGATGGCAGGGAGGGCCGAATTTCAGGTCCCACTCTAACGTAATCATCACAAGTGACTCCAGAACCTGACGCTCAAATCGCCAGCAGACTTTCGGCCATGCTTTTAAAATGAAAGTTCTGCTTTTTTTCTTCAGACATAACTGCGCCAGTGCAGTCTCAGCACTACTCAATGCGGGAGCAGATCCGTATGCCTTTGACTCGCAGGGTAATAGTGTTCTGCTAACAGCGGTGAATGCTTCCGCCGTCGATGCAGTTCGGACTTTGCTGATGAGCAACCAGGTTGCCTCGGACCTTCCACGCCTGTTCGTCGCCTGCCCCACCGAGGACAAAACCACTGCTCTCATACAAGCCGTCAAAATTGCAGATATTGGTGAGTATTTCGGTTCTGAAATTGTGCCCCAAAGCTACACAGAAATCATTGAATAAACGGAGATAAAATTATGCTTGTGGACTCATTTTATAGGTGGTTAGTGTGTCACTAAGTGCTTGATATTTGCCTTTCTGCTTAGCATTTAAATGGGGTACCTTCTTTCTAAACCCAGACAATCTACCACCTTCCCCAATAGGTTTCTTATCCTAGGTTTTGGAGGCCCAAAAACCGATTTTTAATTTCCAATCACACCACACTGTTAATCTTCACTATGGTCTCATTCTCATGCATCAACGAATGAGCACACCACAAGACTTTAGCTGTTTGTCGATACCTTGCTTGCACAGATGTCAGTTGTTTTGATGCATCGCGTTAAGAATCAAAGGAAAATAAGCCGTCAACAAACGCAGCTTGGCTCTCATTTTGTTATTTGCTTCTTGAACAGCATTATTATTAGCTTTTTCTCTAATTGGTAAGGTGCATAAGCGAAAGAAACGATACCGCTTCGATATCATGCTTGGCAAATCCCGCTGCAACAGGTCAACCATAAGGCTAAAGGCAATCTCCAAAAATTAAGCAGCAGTTCCCTCTCATTGACTAACCCTCCGATAAGTATATTCTTGCCAAAACTGCCATGGTAAAATTTAACGCTAAACTATTTTTGTGTTGGCAAGTTAGCCGTAAGCACTGGGAACTTGGTCTTTCGCCTGGCTTACCTCGACCCACTAATTGCTTCTTTTGTTAAAAAAAACGCTTGTAGTCTTTACTTGTGGTGTTGCGATTTGAGTGGTGAAGCTGATCTAGCTAATCATGCTGTTAGTTCGAGCGCCAATATTACTACTACGGAACCTGTCCTTTAGTCGAGGCCGAAGCTTACTTCTGTCACACTGCATGCTGTTTCCTCAAATCGACGACTACAAGCATAAACTGTTTCAGAGGAAAGGGCATGAAATACCGATTGGAACTGCAATGGGTCTTACCTTAAAAAATAATCCCCTGTCGTAGTTGATATACGGAATCACCTGACGACTCGCCAATAATTTCCTTTAACTGTACATTCAGGAACTCAGGAACACTAACTCACTGGGCTCAACCAATTCAATTTAATGCACAAAATCAAGATATGAAAAACTGCGCATTCTTGTTTTGCCATATAAAGTGTAGGCTACAATTTTCTGCCTTTCTATCAATCGGATAAACGCCCTGGCGCGTTGTGCTCCCTCTGCATTTCCACTGGAGGACTGTCTAGTCGTAGGCCTCTTATCAATATATAAATTCAAAACATCGCATTTTTTAAGATTGTTAACATCAATTAGGCCGGTATTCAGTCTTACTTCAGTCACGTGTGCTTGAGAGTCTATAAGTAGAAATAGATTGTGAGCATTTGATTGTGTTTTTGCGTAGCCTCCAAGTAGTTGCTATCTGGAAAGTGACGACAACCGATTTTCTGGTGTTTTGTACCTGTAATCCACATATTTGTCTTTTGACCTCTTCTACGAGGAACCACGTAAAATCTGGAAGCAAGCAAGGTGGTTAGCGCTGCGTTTAATTGGATGCATGTGCTGTGTAAATAATGCATGCATTAGTTATTGTAACAAATAATTCATATACGCTTCAATGAAACACAACATGGTGCCAAACAGAGGCGTATCATGCATCAAAATGACTTTGTTCCAGAAATGGTCGAACTACTATTACAAACAATGGCAAGCCTTCTGCCCGAACCTGCACCTCTTCAAATGGGACCGCCTGGGACAGGCCTTTCGCCCTACGCACTTATGCAGAACCGGCGACCGCCATTGGATCCGAGGTTGGGGTACCCTCGAATGTACTCGACAACCGCTACTACCGTAACAGCTCCTATGCTTGTGAACCCTGCAGAGGAGGGCGCCGGAGGACTTTCCACGAACTCCTTTGGCGTGAATGCAGCCGATGGGGAGGGTCGAACCGCCCTCCACTGGGCGGCGGTCACCGAGCAGCCGGCGATGGTGCACCTGCTGCTCCGCGCCGGTGCTTCGCACGACGTGCAGACCGCTCACGAGGAGACGCCGCTGACTCTTGCCGCGCGGGAGGGTTCTGTGGACGTTTGCTCTATTCTTCTGGCCGCTGGAGCAAACATCGAAATCGCCGACTATCTGGATCGGACGCCTAGACAACTCGCTGCGCAGAATGGTCACACGGAGGTGGTGCAACTTCTCCAAGTCTTTTCTACGGCCCCCCCTCCCAACCCAGGTCAGCATCATTTCGCTCGAAGAACCTACACGCAACCATTTTTTCCCCAGCAACAACAAACAATGCCCTCCTGCTACTATAGGGGTGTTCCGGTGACCACCACTGTTGGCAGCGTTTATTCAGAAGGTCAGACATACGAGAAAAGGACAAAATATGAACCACCGGATTTTCCCAATGTGGGATCAGGCGAGAGCTTTCTGATGCAGTTGGCTCCAACAACAAGCAGTGCTTCCGGGGCAAACACGACTACAACGGAATCCTCCAAAACGTTTTTTTTTGACCAGCCGCCGCAGTACCCCGGACTCAATTCAATGACGAAGTCGTCCGGAGTTTACGGCGGCGCTGAAAATTGTTGGGCACTAAGAAACCAGCCAGCAGCAACTAATAATGGCCACACTCCCAGTTCCGACACCGAGTCGCCAGCACACTGGTCGTCCCCCAGTCCAACTGCAATTTCCCCACCCGTTCCTCCTCCCAAAATGACGGTCGCAACTTCTGGACACTACCAGGTGGCTCCGAGCTCTGCCACTCATACGACTCTTCCTTGCTGTCCGTCACATCAAGTAACGGAAAATTACGCAGCTGCAGCGCCTGCGAGTGGTGGATTCACGGTTTCCTATGCAGCGGCTGTTGACGACTGTATCAAGTTAGAGCCTCGGGTTTTTTAAGCGGCAGCATCGGACCTCGCTTCCTGTCTGTGTGTACAAAACACCCGCCCATCCACTTTGCGCATTCCCTGTCGAACAATCGCTGCGTCCGGCACTTGTCAAGCCCAAATCCTTCCCCCCTCTTCCCTACTCAAAAGTATCTCACAGTTTTTTGCTCGAAAAAGCAGCTTGCATACGCACCCCAGAATGTACACGTATGTATATTGTACATATGCCAAACCTATACATATAAAACACGCAACAAAGTTAACGAAGTTTGTTTTTGAGTTTATCGGAGTGTGTCGAGGGGGTGGGGAAGTAAAAAATAATCTATTTGGTGCGGTTTTAGACTGGCGTGAGGTTGTTTTGGCTCCAAATGAGTAAAGGAGTTAACGTCGTGCCGTACGACAGGGGGCTAAATTTGACGTCATTACGACTATCTTCAGTAGATGTGAGTAGAATACCCGTGTAACTTATTCGACACATTCGCGTCTCCCTCAGTGACAGGCTCTCCGCGATAAATGCATTCTTAACAGATATCATTATATGCGTTCCAACGCGAACCAGTGCAGTCAATGAAACGGTCGGTAGAAGTTGCCTGTTGTATGTCCTTTCTCGAGGTGCGCTGAATGCTCTCTCCGTGTTGAGAAACAGAAGTGGGCCTTCGAGCCACCCTCTACAAATAAACTGCAATTGTTTTCACTGTAAAGGTCATTTGATCACCATTTTAGCAGGCTGGGTTTTCGGTGCCTGGGGAATGCACATCCAAGGCCCACAATGACGCTCTTAGCAAACCATTATGAATCAGGACAAGAAATTGTCACACGCACCCTCCCCTTTGCAAATCATTCATTTTGAAATTTAGAATCAAGCTTGGTAATAGCTTTCATTCCAGCTAATTGGTGGTACTGGCTTGGTAAGAAAACCTCAAACGCTTTGGACCATTTTGCATTTATTGTTCAGCAAAATTTATTTTCATCGTAGTACACAGATCGTCAATATTTTAGCCTCCTGTCGCTAAGTTTAAAAAATTCAGTCGAACCCTAATTAGCTACAGGAGGCGAAATAATCTCAAAGAGTTCTAGGAGAGGCAAGGGGTTATTTTGATGGTTAAATTGGCTCTTGAAGATTAGGGTTAATGAACACGCAACCCAGGGGGTATAACCACATCGCCAGTTTTAGCATCTGCCAGTTCGAAAGCCTAATTTGGCGAGAATGAAACTCAAACAAAGCGAAAATTCAGAGTAAGCAAGCAACGAACTGCACAGCGACGCTCGAAGTTGGTTTAAAATTAACATCGTAGATGGAATCCACATTTGTTATGCCACGAATCACTTAATGCCACAGTGTCGGGTGCTATCTCCAAAACTTCCCTTAACAATACTTTTCTTAAAATGGAAACTAGATGTAAAAATGACCCCATAGCCATTGGATGGGAGTCACAAGTACTTGGCTTCACTTTCTGAGAAAAGTTACAAGTTAAACACTAAATTTTTAATGCCGATTGATTCGATGCCAGTCAAGTTTTTTACAGTCGATGCACAATACTAGTTTAAGGCGACACGTTAGTGGATGTGGGCAACTCTTTTGACATGCTTGAGGCCACTGATTCGTAGCGATTTCCAGGGTTTAGGCCCATGTCCGGTTTTTAATAGAAAGAAACTAGGCAAGAGACTCATCTTCTCAAACCTGCACGACCCAAACGAGCGGTAGTCGGAAAGACCACCCTCTACGAGCGCACTAAATCCAGACTGGACACCACTGTGAAACTTCTAAACATAATGATAGCGAACAGATCACCGGATGCTCCGCCAGAATATTGTTTTGTACAGGAAATATGTAAATTTCAGGAAGTTGTAGTTTTGATATCAGTGAACTTGGTTCTGGTAAAGGGAGAAGCTCAGTCGGTCCGGCGGATGTCCGTAGGGAAAGGGAAAAGAAGGGTGCAAGTACCTTCACGACTGTTTTTGGACACGCCTACAGGACCAAACGTTTGAGCACTATAAAACAATTCGCGGTGCTTGATAGATGCAAAACCCCGAGAGTAAATAATCGAAACGCCATGCCAACATGTTAAAGGCTTTCCAACTCAGACGAAACGCGCATGAAGTCATCGCCTCCCCACGCTACTTCAGGACTCCACGCAGAGAGCCTTTAGTGTCTCATCCAAAGGCCGAGTACACGTTCACATGCTCCCACGTATGTGGCGTGGGCTGTCTTGATTGGAAGAGAAATTTTACATTCAAAGGTGAATGGGCCAATAGGAAGGGGACGTCCGATATGAACACAAAAAGTGTTGTGCATAAACAAAAAATGATTGTTAAAAATAAAAATTTTCAAACGATATGGTGTTGGGGATGATAAATTCCCATCAGTGATTAATCTCTTGGGTGGATGAAATATTTAAAAATATAAGACAAGTTAGACTGACATGGTAATGAAATTGCAGAATCGTAGTCCAAGTAAACACACGTGCTACGTGAAAGTATCTGCTTAATAAGCAAAACAGCACAAACTGCCAGTCAAATCCAATGCCTAAATAAGGCTATTAGGCCGAAACAACTTATACTGAAAGATAGAGTGTTATGTGAATATGGATAGCCTTGGTGAGTGGGAGTAAAGGAAACTTGGCTGACAGTTTCCTTGTCGTTACAAGGATTCCATTCGTATTGCTTATTCTTGAGTAAGTAAATGCTAAGGAAATGTGTATTTAATCAGGGCCGCTTTCCGGAAAGCCTACAAAAATCTCGAATGTCCTATTTACTCCAGTTAATTTTCTTTTTCATAGACACTGACCGCAAACGAAGTAGAAGTATATCTGCAACACTCACGGGTGTTATCCTATGAAGCGTAGGAGCCGTTCTCTTGAAAAAAAAACATTCGAATTCACCGGACCCTTAACCCAAGTGGAAGTCGACTAAACACCGAGCGCAGTTACTTCATGTGCAATTAATGCGCGCAATTAAAAGTAAAATCACTCTCAACGATGAATGGGTCAATAGGAAATGAGACGATAGGAATACGAAAAAATGGTGTCCGGAAACACGAACGATAAAATAAAATAGATAATTGTCAAATTCTTGAGATAAATGGTTTTTTAGAGGCCAAATCCCCAACTGTCTAGAAGTTAAGTGGGTGTGTGCGTAGTACAAAAAAGACGACAGAGCCATCGAACAGTTCCAATAGGCGTTAAATCGATAAGCGAAAATATGATTATTTTGTTCCAAAGTATGAAGACGAATGATGGCACAATCACTGTCAAGAAATAGGGTGGGTCTTGTCCATTTGCTTCGGGTAGGATGAATGCTTTTAGACGCTTTTGCTCAGTTGACAAAAATGTCGGAACACAAGGCCAATTAAATTAGACGCCAGTGATTGGTCGAATCGGTCTCTTGGTGGAGGCTTGCGAGAGTATGTTCAAAAATAGTACCTGACTGCCTCTGTCATTTGTGTCAAAAACATCCAACTGTAAATAGTTTTCTGTTGTACAGCCATGACACGTTCTTAGTTTAGTTGAAGACTATAGCATAATCAGCTTTTTTTCAAAGAGAACATTTTGAAGGTTTTTGCAAATCACAAGTCTCCTTTCTAACAAGCATCAAATGTGTGGTTAAACCTGTTATTGAAGTTGGAGCAATATCATTAGTGCGTTGGACAAATCTTAAAACAAGCCTTAGTTGCACCGGGAACTTTGTCGAAAGGACATCCGAGTAGATTAATAAAATATAAACAGATGAAATGTTTAAATTAAAACTAGTGGGTTACATTTAAGTCAGTCTATCTGCTATACCCACCTGTGCTGATGCCATGGGATAAGTTCTTGTTTTCTTCTGCATCTGTTCAACTTGTACTTCGACAGTTGGGCTGTTGGCATTTACCATGCGAAAATCAGAGCAACCTGTGAAGTGCCCACTGACCAATCAAAGTGACGCGTGTGAATGTGTGGCCATGTCACTGACTGAAACCCTCGTCATCCTTTATCGTAATTTGATCACGAGAAATACGCATATTTTTTGGTCCATTTTGGTGGTCTTCAACATTGGTTATCAAAACGTTTGCAGGAAAGACGATAAGCGATTTAAGAAAATCCACAGAAGACTCTCGTTGAAGGAAACTGATTAGAAAATTGCCGTTTGAAACTTGAGAAGTTGCTTTCAAGAAGATGAGGACATGTTTTGATTGCAAAAGAGTTAATGGTGTGCAGTTAGAAAGTTTTTGATAAGAACGGCAGAGACAATCAGGTGCTATTTTTTACTGTACCTTTAGAAGCCTCCGCTGAGCGAATGATTCGGCCTTTCATCGGCGTTAAGTTTAGTTCCCAAGTGTTAAACGTCTGTTTTCAAACCCACAAAGATTGACAGTCACCTGCAAAAAAAGGCTAGCCATTAGGGAAACATATTTTTAGAACAAATTGTCGGAATAATTTTTCGCTTATTACAGGCTTAATTTTGTACAATACAACTCAGGGTTTAATAATATTATGACCAGCACGATAAATGGAGACTGGTTTGATTTTAATAATTAATCATAGCCTCGTAGGGAGCATTATTACATGTACTCAGACGATAATTATTTGTGTAGAATCTATCATTTTGAAATGTTTTAACGATGATACTCACTTTTTCTTGAGGTGCTTGCGTAATGCCAGCGAAGTTCAAAAGTAAATCGATTGTTGTCTTTTACCAGGACATTAAGTGAAATCTCATGTTAGACGGAGTTGTCTTTTTTTTGACATTTAATACAAGCGTAATGACCTATTCATTGGCTAACTTCATATCTTGTTGGATTAACTTTCTGCTTTTAACGTTTTAGGCAAGTGGTTACTTTTCGATTTTGCAATACTACGAGAATTTCCCAAAATAAGGGAGAGGAATATTTGCCATTTAAAATTCTTTAAAAAGGCTTTTTAATAATGGGCTGGAATTGCTTAACAATGGGACTGGAAAGGACTAATTTAAAGAATAACAAAGTGTTTAAAAGACGCGGCATTAAATAACAGGACCAACCAACCAGATCATGCC